TAATGTTGGTGATTGAATATGAATTGGCATATCGTTTAAATGCGCTTCGTTCTTCTGTAATGTTGGCTTTCTGAGTGATGGCGTATTTCTTTAAAGCCTTTCTCACTGCTATGCCTTTGGTAGCACGTTTTAAAATGTTGTATCTTTTAAACTCCTGTGTTTTGGCTATTTGCTCTAGTTTTGTTTTTAGTTTGGTGGCTATGGGCTTTTCCCTATTATAGTAATATTCAGTGTCATTAATAATTACACGCTTGTAGGTTTTATTCCCTTGCGTTTTAATGTTGCCTATGCCACTGCTTAATACATAATCCAATATATTTCGTAATTCCCCTTGCTCCATATAAATATAAGTCGTTTTTTCTTTAAGTATTTTTTGGGTAGGGGTTTGCGTTGGCGTTTTGAGTTTGTTGGCTTGGGGTTGTAACATAAAACATTCATTTTATTAAATAATTAATAAAGTGAATGTTAAAAACTAAATGTTTAAAAATATTTGTTGTAAATATGAATAGTCTTTTCTGTTATTTTCTCTATTTCATCGTTTATTTTACTCCCTTTCTCTTCTAAATTCATTATTTGTGTTCTTATTCTGCGTTTGTCTCCTGAACCTTTAGTTATGCGCCTTTCCTCCTGTAATTTGTCTATTCTATAACCTATGTCATCCATTTCTAAAAACAATGCGCATCTTTTACAAGCATTCATTTTACAAATGTTTAAACAAACAGGTTCTGGTAAAAACTTCATCAGACGACCTAAATTTTTCGCCTTAAACTTGCATATATAACAGTTTTCAATTGCTTCCTTATATACATCATCAGACCCTGTATCACTATCCGCCATTCTCTCTCAATATATAAGGTGGCTTTTCTTTAAGTACTTTTTGGGTAGGGGTTTGCGTCGGAGCTTTGGGTTTGTTGGCTTGGGGTTGTAACGTTTCCCTCGGGTTGGTGTTTCAAAAGTACCTCCTTTAGAAATACGATTTTAAAAACTGATGTTTTTTATTTTTTCGCTTGTTTTTGTCAGTGTTTTCCCTATGTTTTTTCGGGCGTTTTGCTTTTCTATATGTGGTAGTGTGAGTGTTTTCTGTGTGATCCTAGGGCCAAGGCGGACAGAAAAAAAGTCGGAAGACTTGAACAAAATTAGGTGTTTTTACCCCTAACGCCTGAAAAGGCGAAGTAAAAACAAAAAATCCTAAACCGAAAGACCCGAAAGTCCTAAATCCTAAACCGAAAGTCCTAAACCCTACAACCCTAAACCCTAACGCAGACGAACTGAGGGCGGAGCAGAACCACTAAACTAAATAACCCTAAACCCTAAACCCTGGACAAAGACACTCTGAGGTCATCGCAATGCTTAAACTGTCGGATTTCCCTGTCCGCTCCAGTTCTGAGATGGTTGTGTGCTCAACTCTCTGAGCCGATCCTTTTCCCGAATTTTCGGGAACTATCCTAAAACCCTAACCCTTAAGAGACACGAACCTTCATGAAGTCGCCGATCTGCTTGTCTTCCATAACCTGGCGGGGGTGACAAGTTGCGGTGGGAAGTTGTAGGGGGTTAGGGCTGGGGACGGCATCCTACACACTCGGGCTTTTCACTCGTGTTGTCGTCTGGTTTCTGTGAATTCCCCTGACCTGTACGACTTGTCAAGAGGAAACAAGAGTGCTCCCCGAGTTTGGGGGGCATTGCCCAAATGTTCCCCGATGTTGGGGGGAAGTGCCCAAATGCTCCCCGATGTTGGGGGGCAGTGTCCAAATTCTCCCCGATGTTGGGGGGAAGTGGTTCTCACTGCACTATACAATTGGAAGCGGAAGCCTCAACCAATTCGGGCTGAGTGGTTCTACCCCTAGCGCTGATTTCATCCTCTACCGCCTTCAGAAGTTTAGACACATCAGTTGTCAAAACGCCTGTGCCCTCATTGAAGACATGGTTTTCCTCAATGAAGGACTTCATCAAAGTTGCCACCATCTCGCCCTTGGTAATCTCAATCTTCTCGGAACACCTCTCAAGGACTTCCAAAGGCTTGAAGACCGAGTGAAGCAAACGGTGAAGCTTCTCATCATTCGTCAAGTTCTTTCCCTTGTCGCCTTTCTTCTTGGGGGTGAGCAAGGACTGGAAATAGTTTAGCTGGTCATTGGGGATGTGCTTGATGCAAATCTCAAAGAAAGAAGAACCCGCCCTGTTCTTAAGCATTAGAAACTCCGTCATCTTGCCCTCAAGCTCGGTTAGAAACTCCTTAAACTGTGTCGGAAGGATGCCCTCGTCAAAGCCCTCGGTCTGTTCCACCTTGTAGGTTTCATCCACACGCTTTTTGTAGCCCTTGATGGCGTCCTCCTTCTTCAAGTGATGCTTTAGCACTCTGGGATTCGGAGCCCCACCTTGTCCTTGAATTGCCATCAGAACGACGTTGTCCGCTTCCAAGCCTATGTCGCCCAAGAGCTGGTCGTCGGTGAGCACCTCGTCGCGGAAAATCAGGCGCATGATGTCGGAATACATCTGCTGACTGCCACCCATCAGAAAGGTTAGGTTGCGAACACTCATTCCGTTGTGAACCTCGGCACCAAGCAACAAGTTGTCAAAGACCTGCCGAATGTTGATGTGGAAGCGCGGGACCACCTCCACATTCTCCCTGACAAAGAGTAGCACGTGCAAACCTTCATGAATGTTGTATTCAATGAGCAAGTGGTCCATCGGAACCTCTTCCTGAACCATACCGGGCGTGATGACCTGGTGAAGCTGATACTCAAAGTCGTCAAAGAAGAGGGTCTGCTGTTCCTGTGGGATACCTGCTTTCCCTTCCAAGTAGAACTTTAAGTCGCCGAAGTTGGTGAGGTCGGGGAGGAAGGGGGCTTCAATGAAGTCGCTGACGAACATATCCTGCTCACGACACACCGCCACCAAAGCCGAGAAGTAAGGCCCATCGTCGCTACTGCTTGGGCTGTCATCGCCTTTGGGACTGTCATCGCCGTCGTCGGGTGGGTCGTCCTTGCCTTTGGGAGTGTCATTCCCGACGTCATCGGCGTCGTTGTGTGGGTCGTCCTTCAACAATGACACTAGGCGTTGGTTCTCAAGCTTCAAGTTGGCGATTGTTGTGTTTGCTTCGTTAAGCATCCGTTGATACTTCTTGGCATAGTGCTCCTTCTTAGGCTTCGGTTCGGTCATGCCCTTCTCCATCTCCCGCTTTGCATCCGCCACCACCGAAGAAGCCGACATAATCACGAGGGACTGTCTGAACCTACCACTATTAAAAACCTTAAGAAACAAGCGACGTCAAATCAAGTCTGCAAGGCTCAACTCTTTCAGAAGGCTTCCACAAGAATGCAACGGTGAAGTTTTGTGAACAAGCTTCGTAAGCTTCAGGGTTTCTGTGAGTTATCTCACTTGGCGATCTGCGCATCACGACTGTTCGGGTGGTGCGCGACACTGCCCTTCAAGGCTTTAAAGCCCTCACTGCTGGTAGCCCTCAGACGTGGCCACAGTAGCCTGGCGACTCTCAAACTCGGAAGCCGAAAAGGCACTCAAAACTTCGCCTCCCTTCATTTTCAAACTGTCGCCCCCCAAAGTAGGGCGCGCCATAATGCCTTGCCCTGCGATCTTGTTGCCATCCATCATCAGAACGAAGCCCTTCACGAAGGCCTCCTTGTCGCCCTTCTTGGTCAAGACCTCGTAGCTTGGGTGGCTCGTAGCCAGATCATCGCGAAGCTCCGACAAGATGGTATTCTTGGGAAGCGTAATCTCAAGTGGCTCCTCGCTCCAAGACACATTCACGCTGAAGGTGATGGTCTCGGATCTCTCGGCCTCTTTCTGTGCCCTCTTGCCCAACTCCTTGATGCGATTGCGTTCGGCGGTCGCCTCTTTCTTGATGACTGTCTCCTTGTAATGAATCTGCTCACTGACGTGCTTCAGCTTTGAGACCGTGATTTTGGCCTCTTCCTGAATTTCGTCGTGGAGTTCACGCAATGCCTCAAGGCTCATCCCGTCGGTCATTGTGGTGAATTCTTCATCCACCGCAACGCGAGAAAGCTCAAGCTTCACCGTCTTTGACTGCATCTCTGAAGTAGAGGACGAAGCCATTGCACCACAAGCTATACTAGGAAAGCGAAAGCTAAAGCCAAAAGAAAGCTCGGATGTTATGATTTTGCTTTGTGCTCATTCCCTGCAGTTCTCAAATCAGAAACTCAACCACTTGCAAAGCAAAAGAAGACCAAACAATCACGCCAGTTGTGCCTCTTTCTCGTCGGAGAAGGTGATGTAGCTCTCGCCCAAATGGTTGAACCACCCACTAAGCCCCAGAAAGACCCAAAAGACAACCCAATGGCTAACCCGAAGCTCTACAATCATGGCTTTATGTTAGCCGTTTCTACGAACCGCCTAACTAAAGCCCAGCTAAGCTTAGAGACAAACCAAGACAAAACGAAAGAGAGGGAAAAGTCAAAAAGTGTTGGGGAAGTAAGAGGGGGGAAAAGTGAAAACGAGAGAGGAGCGACAAATACTTAAATGAGGGGGTGGGATCCTGGGGAGTGAGAGAAAAACGAAGGAGGGGCCAAGATTGACGAAGAGAAGCGAGAAAACGAATGAGACACGCTTTTAAGAAAACGAAGCAGAGACCCAACGAATGAAACAGACCCCAGACGAGGAAAATAAGAAACGAAGGAGGCGACAAGGGTTAAGAACAAGTGGGAGACAGTGATTAAAAACAAAAAACGAAGCAGACACGACAACACACAACAGCCCAGACCCCAGGAACCCCCTTTTAATAATTTTTTTTGGGGGGGGGGGTGCGGGGTCGGGTCGAAAGTTGGATGTTTTGAGGGCTTTGAAGGCTCTTAGGTTGCTGAGAGGCTTTGTTGTTAGGGTTTCGGGGTTAAGGTGGTTTAGGATTCAGGGCTTCGGCTTCATGTAGCCTGCAAGAATTTATGTAGGCTTTTCCCTAAAAGCTAAACCCTAAACCCTAAACCCTAAACCCTCGCGCTCTCTCTCTCTCTCTGTTTTTGCCACGGTGCCAGGCGTTGCTGATATACGAGCCGGCACCCTTCCCGGCCTCCCAGCCGAAAGCTTGCAAAGCGTGATGGCAATTTCGCATTTAGGGTTCAGGGTTTAGGGTTTAGGGTTTAGGGTTAGTTTTTTTTTTTTTGAGGGGGGCGGGGGGGAGTTTGGGAGAGGGGTTTGGGAGGGGGTTTTGGAAGGGGGGGGGGGTATATAAACCCATTCCGCCTAACTCCTATGAGCCCGACACGCCCCATAAACCCGATAAGCCCTGTAAACCCCATAAACCCGACCAACCCTACAAACCCTAAACCCTAAGCCCTCAACCCTAAGCCCTAAACCCTAAAACCTAAACCCTAAGCCCTAAGCCCTAAACCCTAAACCCGAACGGAGTGACTGAAGGACACCATCCCAGCCTACGTTCCGCTCGCGGGGGGCGTCCGCCCCGTTGGCTTCGAGACTCGACCCGGTTTGAGGGTTTAGGGCAAAGGGTTTGGGGTTTTGGGTTTGGGGTTTAGGGTGCCTAAACCCCCTAAGTAAACCCTAAGCCCCAAACCCCGAAACCCAGAGTCCAAACCCCAAAGCCCCACCGAAACAGGTCAACCCAGCAACCGTAAACGCCTTGAGTCCTAAGTTACAAAACCCTAAACCCTAAACCCTAGACACCCCAAACCCTAAGCTCCTGAACCCTAGACGTTTGTCCACTTGGAGGTTCATGGGTACTTACAATCCCAATTTTCACTGCACTTACAAGCCCCCTAAGTCCTCTGAGTGGGTGTTAAAGTACAGTCATAATTGGAGGGGGGGGGGTTATAAGTACCCCTAAACCCTAAACCCTAAACCCTAAACCCATGAACCTCTAAGTAGGATTGTTGTTTTAGAATTCGGGGGTTTAGGGTTTTTTAGTTGTTCAGGGTCCAGATTTTTTTGGGGTTTTTGGGCGTTTGGGTAAGTTCTGGACTTTTGGCTTGTCTGTCTGGTTGCTGGGGTTTCCGGGTGTTTTGGGGTTTTGGAGTTTTTTTGAGTTCAGGGTTCTCTGGGTCAGTTTAGGGTCCGGGGTTAGTATTTTGAAGAGTTTCGGGGTGCTCCGTGTAAATTTAAAGGCCCAAACCCTAAACCCTAAACCCTAAACCCTAAACCCTAAACCCTAAACCCTAAACCCTAAACCCTAAACCCTAAACCCTAAACCCTAAACCCTAAACCCTAAACCCTAAACCCTAAACCCTAAACCCTACAGGAGTCAAGGGATTCAAAGGAGGGACAAGGGACCTTAGGGGTTATTTAGGGGCTACTAAGGTATATAGGGACCGACAATATAAGGCGTATATATGGGGGGTTACAAAGAGGAATAAGACTAAGCTAAACCCTAAACCCTAAACCCTAAACCCTAAACCCTAAACCCTAAACCTAAACCCTAAACCCTAAACCTCAGGGTCCCTTCTAGGGGTCTCTCTTTGTATCTCTTTCAGGAGACGGGCCCAGCGCCGGGCGAGGGCGATCGCCAGGCTTTGTGGGGGTTCTGGGTGTGGGCTTGGCTTTAGGGTTTCAAGGGTTTAGGGTTTAGGGTTCAGGGTTTAGGATTCAGGGGTTTAGGGTTTAGGGTTCGGGGTTCAGGGGTTTAGGGGTCAGGGTTTAGGGGTTTAGGGGTTTAGGGGTGTAGGGGTTTAGGGGTTTAGAGGTTTAGGGGTTTAGGGATTTAGGGGTTTAGGGGTTTAGGGGTTTTGGGGGTTTAGGGGGTTTAGGGGTTTAGGGGGTTTAGGGGGTTTAGGGGGTTTTGGGGTTTAGGGGTTTAGGGGTTTAGGGGTTTAGGGGTTTAGGGGTTTAGGGGTTTAGGGGTTTAAAGTTGAGCGGTGTAATAGGGTTGGGGGCCCCAGACTCTGGGTTCAGGGTTTAGGTTTTAGGGTTTAGGGTTTAGGGTTTCAGGGGTTTAGGGTTCAGGGTTTAGGGTTCAGGGTTCGCTGTTTAGGGTTGATTGCTGTTTGCTTAAGAACCCCGCAACAAAATATCAAGTTTTCTTCCCTAAAAGGGTAATCAGGGGGACGATTTGTTTTTTCTTTGGGGGGTTCTTGAGCAAATAGTGGTTGAGGGTTTTGGGGGTTTGGGGGCTGGGGGGCTGGGGGGCTTGGGGTTGGGGGGCCGAGGGTTGTGGGTTGAGCTTTTCGGTGTGTAGGCCCTAGTCCTAAAAGCCCTGTATGCTGGGAGGCGGGCTGTTGATTCCGAAACTCTGCTAGACTTTTTAAAAAGACCCCACTAAACCTTATCCCGCGGAAGGTGCTGTCCTACCACATTTACTCCTGCGGCTTCGCCACAAACAAGTGCGACAGGACCAGGGCTTACTGGTTTAGAGGGGTCAGGGGTTGAGGATTCAGGGCTCCCCCACTTTACACCTTATACGTACTCTGCGAAGAGTACTCAAGCAGCTTTCCATAACCCTAAACCCCTAAACCCCTAAACCCCTAAACCCCTGAGGTTGAAACTAAAGCTAGGCGTCGACTCCCCGTTCAAGTGCCCTGGCCTGTTGCTTCGCCCTGGGTTGTTTCGGGTGCCTGGTGTTTGGGGCCGTCTTTAGGCTTCAGGAGGTTTAGGGCCCTAAACCCTAGCCCTAAACCCTAAATCCTAAACCCTAAACCCTAAACCCTAGCCCTAAACCCTAAACCCTTACATGCGGCAACTCAGCACCTTGATCCCCGAACCCAGAAGCTCGACCTTCGCTTCTCCTTCGTCAGGAAAGGGGACCCTCCCTCAGCGGTTTGCGAAACCTGCGACCACATGGCGGATGCGGCGGTGGCTGCTTGGCTTGCTCGTGGTTTAGGGTTTAGGGTTTAGGGTTTAGGGCCGTTTAGGGTTTAGGGTTTTGGGTTTAGGGTTTTAGGCTTAGGTTGCAGGGTTTAGGGTCTAGGGTTTAGGGTTTAGGGTTCAGGGTTTAGGCGAAATGGAGCTCGATCCTAGGTAGGATGGGGGGGGGGGCCCTTAAAATGGGAGCCCTTCTTAACCCTCTTCTGGCTCTCTTAAACAGGGACCTGATTCAGAGGGTCTATACTGTAGTCTATATCCTCAAGGGTCCCCCTAATCCTACCCCCTACTCGAGAGGAGTTAACCTAATTCAGGAGCCAGATAGGCCAAAGAGTGTGTTCATTGTCTTGTTTACGTTGGGGGGGGGGGGGGGGGCGGGGGAGAGGTGGGTTAAGCCAATACACGATGCGCCAAACTCGACACCCCAAACCCCTAAGCCCTGAACCGATTGCAAAAAGGCAGGTTTTGGGTAACCCGAAGCCCAGTCCCCACGAGTACCACCAAAAAGGTAGGTGTTTTGGGGGGCTTCTCATAAAGGTGCCAGCGGTTCCCTTACGGGTCCATGTAGCTAAAGAGCATATACATGAGCCCTAAAGCGACTACAGGGGAACCTCTTAATCTAAGCCCAGGTATATACTATATAGCAACCTAAACAAAAAACCCTGAACACTAAACCCTACACCCGATAGGTAAGTTGTCCCTTATGGTCCCTTTATAATTATACTCGAATAACCCCCCCCCCCAAAAAAAAAAAAAAAAAAGCAAATAAATAAAATAAATAAATAAAACTATTCTAATCATTGAGGCCCTCTGTTAGGTACACATGGAACTGAGATTTAGCACACGATCCAAGCACACCGCCTGAGACCACGCGTGAGACTGACGCCCGCCGCCTGGGCGGCGCTGCCTTTCTCACGGAGCCTGGGCATAGCCTTAGGGTTCAGGGTTTTGAAAGCAAAAAACAAACTCACCCAAAACTTTCGCCAAAAACAAAACTCCGGACCCCATGCAGATGCCGAAAGCAAAAAAACAACTCGCTCAAAACTGTCGGGCAAACCCCGCCCAAAGCTCCGGACCCAACCCGACACAATTTCTTTCTGCGGTAAACTTTAGGCTTTAGGGTTTAGGGTTTAGGGTCTTGTTACCCCGAATAATGAGGCTACTGTACCCTCAAAATAGGGAACTGCAGCGAGTAATTGTAGTCTACTGGATTTCAAGGTATGCACCTTAAGACTGGCACATGGGCCACCCCCACAGCCCTAAACCCTAAACCCTACACCCTAAACCCTAAACCCTAAACCCTAAACGCTAAACCCTAAACCCTAGCCCTAAACCCTAAACAGAATCTCGCAGGAGTTTGGGGCCTGCTCTGGCACTCCCAACTGCCTCGCGGAGATCCACCGCGTGGCGGATGCTCGGGGGCGACTTGTGAGGTGTCTATGTCGGGTTAGCCTAGGTTGGGGGTTAGGGGTTTAGGGTTTAGGGTTTGCAGCTCTTAATTCAGGGCCTAGGGAAAGAGGGAAGGGATTGTAGGGATTAGTTACACTGAACGGGCACTTAACAGGGCTGCCTCCTATTGCTGTGTGAGTCTTCAAGCGGGTCCCCAAACCCAAAGGAACCCTAAACCTTAACCCCTAAACCACCCTAAACCTAACCCCTAACCCCGAAACCCTAAACCCTAAACCCTCAACCCTGAACCCTGAACCCTAAACCCTAAACCCTAAACCCTATACCCTAAACCTAAACCCTAAACCCTAAACCCTAAACCCTTAACCCACCCCAGGTTACAACCCTTCGGCGGACCCAAGTCTCTCAGGATATGGCTGACCGATCCTTGCATTCCTGGGCATACTGGCAGTTCAAGTACAACCACGCAACTCGGGCTTAAGGTTTAGGGTTTATCGAGTTTAGGGTTTAGGGTTTAGGGCTTAGGGTTTAGGATTCAGGGCTTTAGGGTTTAGGGTTTAGTAGAGTTTAGGGTTTAGGGTCTGGCTGTTCAGACGTTGAGGGGGTAGGCACGTAGGGTTTCAGGTGCTTGGGTGCATGCACCATGTGAGCATTTCAGCCTTCGCAAGGTCTGCAGCATCGGAGCCCCCGAACAACCCTAAACCCTAAACCCTAAACCCATACAAGCATAAACCCTAATCCCAACAGCCATAAACCCTAAACACCCTAAGTCGGGAACCCTAAACCCCAGCCACCCGAAACCCAAAACTCCCCCCAACATGAAGAGGGGGGGGGTGCGGAAAGATCAAGAAACCCGCAGGCCTCTGAACCCTAAACCCTAAACCCTAAACCCGAAACCCTAAACCCTAAACCCTCAAGCGGCGCAAATGCCGAGGACATCACCACGGTGGCAGGCCCTGAGGTGAGAGCGGGGGGGAGGTCGTCGACATTGCTGAGGTTGAAGTTTTTCGGGTTTAGGGTTTAGGGTTCAGGGTTCAGGGTTTAGGGGGTGGGATGCTCTCCCTTAGACTAACAGTCTTTTAAAGAGAGTATACTACCCCGTACTACAATCCCTATGAAGGAGCTGTTCGT